CACACAGCCAGACACCTCAGGACCTACTGATGCACAGCCGGATGCCCCGGGACCTACCCACACGCAGAGCCAGACACCTGGACACCCCAGGACCGACCCACACATACAGCTAGACACCCAGGGATTCTACCTGCTCCCCCAATAAATCAATCCACACACACACACCCCAGCCAGGGCACCGTGCCCCCACTGTAGGCAGCCCCCGGTCACGGCCGTGGCTCCATGGCCCCCCGCTGAGCCAGACACAAGCAGGGAGCAGCCCCTGCACCTGGGGAGGCACGGGGACCCTGGAGCCCCCTAGACTCACCCGAGGACCAGCCACGGGCCCAGGACCCCGGCAGCAATTCCTTCCAGACCCCCCCCCACACCCAATGGGTGTGACACCGGGCGCTCGCTCCCCCCTTGGCCCCAGGATACGGGCCTGGTAGGTCTGCTCCGCCTCCAGGCTTGATCGGCTGCAGGGGTGTTGCCCCTGCCAGTGCCCGGGGCTGGCGTTAGGAGCCCGCTGCCAGCACCCGCAGCTGGGAGCGAGAGGGCACAAAAGGCCAGGGCTGGGAGCAGGAGCTTTGCTTGGCTACAGGGGCCAGCTCCCCTCTCTGCTCAGCAGTGGCACCACCTGGGTGTTAATACAGGGAGTGTGCTGGGGGGAGCCCTGTGCGTGTGTGAATGAGGGGGCATGTGCACGTGTGTGTGTGTGTGTGTGTGTGCACATGGGGGTGTGTGTGTGTGCGCACATGGGGGGCGTGTGCACGTGTGTGTGCATGTGTGCGTGGGGGGTGCATGCGTGGGTGTGGGTGTGCACGTGTCTGTGTGTGGGGGTGTGCGTGCGTGGGGGTGTGTGCGCGTGTGGGTGTGCATGTGGGTGTGGATGTGTGTGCACACGTGGGTGGGTGTGCACGTGGGGATGTGCGTGCGTGTGTGTGTGTGTGCGCGTGTGCGTGTGTGTGTGCGCACGAGCTGTGGATCAGGGCTCTGCTCTCCACCCCCAGGGGTTACCGTGGCCAGGGCTATGCGAGGCTGGGAGCGCGGCCCCCCCTTTGCAGCGCGGGGGCTGGGAGTTCACAGATCAGGACGTGTCTCCCGGGGCCCTGCTATCCCGTCCCATGTGCACAAGCCCAGCAGCTTCCACGGAGGGAAGGGCTAGGTCTGGGACCCCGGGCCGCTCCCCGCTTCCCCCCACTCCACTCCGGCAGCCCCGAGTCTTTCAGCCTTGGGCACCCCTGCCTCACTGCTGTGCCCCCAATCCTGACCCACAGCCCCTTTACCCCAGCCCTGGGCTCCCCCAAACCCTGCCAACCCCCCTGTCCCGACCCACAGCCCCTCCTACCCCAGCCCTGGGCTCCCCCAGCCCTGCCGATCCCCCCAATCCCGACCCGCAGCCCCAGCCCTGGGCTCCCCCAAACCCTGCCGATCCCCATGAATCCCGACCTGCAGCCCCTGCTATCCCAG